GGCCTTAGTCCTCAACGCCGGCAACCCGGGTTTGAATCCGGCCTGGTGTCATTTCCTGCATGTCTCATACCCCCTTTCCTGTCTGCCTACTGTACTGTCCATAAAAACGAGCCACTAGTGCCCCATAAGCCATCCCCCAAAAAAATTATCTTTAAAACATTTGGCCCATCCATTTTTTACATAAAACATTTGACGATCACATGAAATAAAAAAATTTTGGGATCTTTCTTTCCTGTGCCAGGGCTCACATAGCAGAACGTGGGCCCGTTCTTAAAGCAAGCAAAAACGTAGCGATCGTCTAGATGAGGAGTTTCCAAACGTTTCAGCCCAAAAATATAACAGCGACAGGAAATCCCTGAAAACATAGAACCATTATACTATATACTTATATATATATATTTATTTAAATAAATAATTTTGTTAAATCATTTAAAACAATAAATTCAATTATTAAATAATCACGCATTTGTGAATTAGCTAGTGACAGTTCCATTTGGAAGCAGACCAAAGTTATTTGAAAGAGGAATAAAATACGGTAGCTTCCCGGCCAAAACTGGAGATTTGAAAACTACATGTGTGCATCTCTATCTACCTATTTATTTATTCATTTTTTATCCATCTAGCTCACACATACATATATATATTTGATCTACCTGAATGTTGTTCCTTTTAGCCCTCCATATGCCTTGAGGGTCATTGCTTGATGGTTTTAGGAAATCATATTTCAACAATGGTCTGTTTGATCGACATTTTACAGCATTTTAGTGCAATTTCTTTTGCCACCATAAAAGACTCCTGATTGATTGTTTGTATGCATGTATATATGTATATATATATATATATATATATATATATATATATATATATATATATATATATATATATTTCTAACAAAAAAATGAACATTTTAATGATCTCTTGGAGTCAAGAAATCCCCAAAGAATTTAGATAGCAGAGGGAAAAAGCTTTTAACCGTACCTCCATGGCCAGAGCGGCCGTCTGCTGGTCGTAGTGGTTCATGCTGTTCGGCATGAAGGTGGAATTATATGGCAGCCCCTGACACATGCGCAAGGTGATCGGCTCGCAGGTGAACAGGCTGTGACTCCCCGCCGCCGCATCCATAGGGATGGCTACACAGGCAGCGAGCATCGACACAGAAAGCACCCACAGGAGATCCATTACTGGTCCCCACATTAACAAAAAGGAGAGGAAACCCCCAGGAGATGGCTGCTTAGGATGAGGGGTTGACCTCTGTTACCATAAGGGTCATCTACCACGTCAAAGGAGAGGGAGGGCTTGAATTTCCTGATTTTTTTTTCCTTGTCGGATCAGAGAGAAGCAGTCCGAGCTGGCCGGGACAGTCCAATATGTTCATAGTTAAGGCTAAATGGATCCATCATTGGGTAGAAGCCAGTCAGTGTCCACCAGTAGAGAGGCTGGGCTGCTTCAGGGACAAAAAGGCTCCGATCTGGACTGTCAGCAACCTGCAAACAGAAAAAACAGACCAAAAAACTGGCATTAGGCGGTGAAAATAAAGCAAAGCTGCATTAATCATCAGTAGAAATATTTTTTAAACAAAATGAGGTGCAGATTAAATCCTCCTGTTTAAGCTTTTTTTTTTTTTTATATATATAATTTATTTCTATTGTAACAGACAAAACATGACAAAAAATTACCAGCAATAAACTGAATAGAGTAAAATTCTCCACAGAAAAATGGTTATTTAAACATTTCATATTTTCATATGAACCTTATCAGAGTTTTCTAATATTTATTATGTGTTGTTTTCATAAACGGCCATTTTTCTCCACATAAGCAGGCTGATTAATGTCAGCACACACCCAGATGCCTGAACGTCTCCATTCACGCACACCTAAAACAGCATTCATCATATCAAATGGACAGATTATTATTGGACATTTATGCTATTTAAAGGTAAATATTAAAAGGAGTGTAAGCAATTAATGCGGTTAAATCGCTGCGGTTAGCCAACCTGTTTAGCTCCTCTATCTACAGACTCATTTATCCACTTTATCGTTGTTAAATGAAGCTAACTCAGCCCACCGGCTCACTTTGCTCTCACGGTCCGACTCTCAGCCACCACAACACGGACTGAAGCAGAGAGAAGTGAGCCAGAGCTAACAAAAGATGACGGTGGCTCCGTCCTCCAGGCTGATAGTAACCGGAGCAGAGGCAGCCAGCTCCGCTCACCGGTGTTATCATTCACCGCAATGAGCCGCCGGGGCGGCACCGCGGAGCCCCGGTGGCTCCGGAGAAATACCCCACCCAGATATTAACGGAAGGAGAAACAAAACTTTACCGAAAGGTTCTCCCAGGAATTTCACGTGCAGCAATAATGGTCTCCGCAGCTCGTCCACTTTGTAACAATGAACCTTCTCCTCCTCCTCCGACCAGCCTCACTCACCTCCTCTCCTCCTCCTTCACCAACGTTCCTCTGCGACAAGAGCGCGAGACTTTCAAGATGGCTTCCAGTCCGAACCTATCAAAATAAAAGACTATTTAGTAGTATAGTATAGTATAGTATAGTATAGTATAGTATAGTATAGTATAGTATAGTATAGTATAGTATAGTATAGTATAGTATAGTATGGTGTAGTATGATACAGTATAGTGTGGTATAATATAATATGGTATAGTATAGTAAAGTATGGTATAGTATAGTATAGCATGGTATAGTATAGTATGGTATGGTATAGTATAGTATGATATAGTATAGTATAGCATAATATAGTATAGTATGATATAGTATTGTGTAGTATGGTATAGGATAGTATGATATAG